GTTTGGTGAGATTCCTAAAACGCTTTCTTCTCTGCACAGGCTCTCTGTGTTGCTGTGACCACCAGTGACCTGACGGAGACACAAGCCCTGGTCTTCTGCGGAGCCGACATCAGCTGCACCTGCGGGGACGTCTTCTTCTCCCAGCCCCTGGAGCTGGCGCAGCAAGCTGGCCAAAGACTGCAGGAGGAGTTCCTGAAGCAGAACCGGACATCAGGTAAGGCGGAGGAGAGAGAGAGAGAGAGGATCCAATTGGGATTTGTGTGTGTGTGTAGGTTGTAAGGCAATGGGGTGGAAAATGCATTACTTTGTTCTGCCAATCATATTGCAGTATCAGTTTATTAGGCATTATGGGTAAAACCCATAACTTTTTACAATGTGCATTAGAAACTGCAGCAAATCAGACAAAGCCCACCTCATTTCCTGGCTGGAGGATGTCCAGCATCATCTATCACTTCCCTTCCCAGCCTGTCCCTCGCCCTCCCCTTTCATTCATTAGATTATAGTTCTTCAGTCATGAGCTCAGCATCATATGCGGCCATTGCATCGGGCGGTCTGCATGTCAATACAGTCTGCCTAGAAATGCCCTCACTGACACCCACCCTTCAAGACATTTTTTATATTTGCATAACTCCTCCCAAGAGCCAGCCCACTGCTTGCGTCAAAGCTGAGGGCTCCTGAGAGAAGTGCTGAGGCCGGGTGCTGTGATGTTTTCAGGAAGCTATGCACATCACCCTGCCGGCCCCTCCCACCAGCTGTGATCTGCCAGCATTGCATAGAGAAACAAAACTTGTTATTATCTGTATACCTATTTATGCCAGCTATATTTCCTGATTGGTTGCTTTTTGCACAAGGCAAAGCAGTGACGTCCAATATTCTCATTTTGTTTTCCTGATTCAGCCAGTCTGTTCAGGATTAAAGGGAAAGAGTAGACTCGCTCCACAGTTATATGATATTATCTCCGGGTGAAAAAGTGGCACAAAAATGTGATACATTGCAGCTTACCAGACCTCAGATGTGGCGTCTGCATTCGTTATTATTATTCTCTGTCAGTAACACACTCCTTTCCCTAAGGTGACAACACTCAATCACTGTACTGTATCTATGGAGGTGCAGTGTTGTCACTCTGCAACAGGACTACAGAACACCTTCTCTTCTCGATAACAGAAGGATCTGTACTCCTGCTGTGCCCATTATGAGGAGCTCCCACCATCCCTGTGCTGAGTTCCCGGGTCTGTACCCCCGCTGTGCCCATTATGAGGAGCCCCCACCATCCCTGTGCTGAGTTCCCGGGTCTGTACCCCCGCTGTGCCCATTATGAGGAGCCCCCACCATCCCTGTGCTGAGTTCCCGGGTCTGTACCCCCGCTGTGCCCATTATGAGGAGCCCCCACCATCCCTGTGCTGAGTTCCCGGGTCTGTACCCCCGCTGTGCCCATTATGAGGAGCCCCCACCATCCCTGTGCTGAGTTCCCGGGTCTGTACCCCCGCTGTGCCCATTATGAGGAGCCCCCACCATCCCTGTGCTGAGTTCCCGGGTCTGTACCCCCGCTGTGCCCATTATGAGGAGCCCCCACCATCCCTGTGCTGAGTTCCCGGGTCTGTACCCCCGCTGTGCCCATTATGAGGAGCCCCCACCATCCCTGTGCTGAGTTCCCGGGTCTGTACCCCCGCTGTGCCCATTATGAGGAGCCCCCACCATCCCTGTGCTGAGTTCCCGGGTCTGTACCCCCGCTGTGCCCATTATGAGGAGCCCCCACCATCCCTGTGCTGAGTTCCCGGGTCTGTACCCCCGCTGTGCCCATTATGAGGAGCCCCCACCATCCCTGTGCTGAGTTCCCGGGTCTGTACCCCCGCTGTGCCCATTATGAGGAGCCCCCACCATCCCTGTGCTGAGTTCCCGGGTCTGTACCCCCGCTGTGCCCATTATGAGGAGCCCCCACCATCCCTGTGCTGAGTTCCCGGGTCTGTACCCCCGCTGTGCCCATTATGAGGAGCCCCCACCATCCCTGTGCTGAGTTCCCGGGTCTGTACCCCCGCTGTGCCCATTATGAGGAGCCCCCACCATCCCTGTGCTGAGTTCCCGGGTCTGTACCCCCGCTGTGCCCATTATGAGGAGCCCCCACCATCCCTGTGCTGAGTTCCCGGGTCTGTACCCCCGCTGTGCCCATTATGAGGAGCCCCCACCATCCCTGTGCTGAGTTCCCGGGTCTGTACCCCCGCTGTGCCCATTATGAGGAGCCCCCACCATCCCTGTGCTGAGTTCCCGGGTCTGTACCCCCGCTGTGCCCATTATGAGGAGCCCCCACCATCCCTGTGCTGAGTTCCCGGGTCTGTACCCCCGCTGTGCCCATTATGAGGAGCCCCCACCATCCCTGTGCTGAGTTCCCGGGTCTGTACCCCCGCTGTGCCCATTATGAGGAGCCCCCACCATCCCTGTGCTGAGTTCCCGGGTCTGTACCCCCGCTGTGCCCATTATGAGGAGCCCCCACCATCCCTGTGCTGAGTTCCCGGGTCTGTACCCCCGCTGTGCCCATTATGAGGAGCCCCCACCATCCCTGTGCTGAGTTCCCGGGTCTGTACCCCCGCTGTGCCCATTATGAGGAGCCCCCACCATCCCTGTGCTGAGTTCCCGGGTCTGTACCCCCGCTGTGCCCATTATGAGGAGCCCCCACCATCCCTGTGCTGAGTTCCCGGGTCTGTACCCCCGCTGTGCCCATTATGAGGAGCCCCCACCATCCCTGTGCTGAGTTCCCGGGTCTGTACCCCCGCTGTGCCCATTATGAGGAGCCCCCACCATCCCTGTGCTGAGTTCCCGGGTCTGTACACCCGCTGTGCCCATTATGAGGAGCTCCCACCACCCCTGTGCTGAGTTCCCGGGTCTGTACACATGCTGTGCACATTATAAGGAGCTCCCACCAACCTGCTTGATTTCATTAGTTAACATTCTATAGATTGTGGTGGGAGGATGTGGTCACATACATTTGGGCAGAGACATCCTATACTCCCAGGTAGACAGGAACAGAGTTAAGAATATCCAAGACATATAAAACTCCCGTGGCTGACTCCGCCCACCCAGCTCAACCAGTACCTCAGGTATTACTTTTGGATGGACTTTCCCTTTGTACTATGCGGGCATAACATGTCATTTTAGATTCCTCTTGGTGGTTGATTAGTGCTGCCCCTGGCACAGAGAGCGGACAGGAGTGACTCATGGTCAGCACAGTCTGTGTCACACTCAGATTAACCCTTCGGCTGCTCTCCGTCCAGTGTAAGTCTGAATACCGATTGTTATACAGAATAGGAAACAGTAACCAGAGGGGAAATCTTGCTGAACATTGTATTGCCGGTCATACAAAGGATGTGAGATCCAACAACTGACAGTGAGAACAGAGAATAGAGGGAGGTGGAGGTAAGTCTGCCGTCACTACTGAGAACTATTGTGGAAATTTACATTAATCACGTCCACTGATCGGCCTGAACTATGAATAGGATGTGACCCCCCTTATTATCTTCTATCATCATATGTGTATTCTCTGATATCGGGGTGTAAATGACAATCTTGTTGAGTGTCTCTGCTAATGTAAACATTGATGTGTTTGTTGCTTCGATGTATCTTTGTAGATATTTGGTGATTTTATTGGGTTTTACAGTTCGGTGATACAATTCTATGATCTGAAGATGGCGGAGGAGATTGTGTTTGGTTACATAGTTAGTGTAACACCCTGCCTGGGGTTTTTAACTGTTCAATGGACCACAGATGCAGATTGGAATTTCCCTCTGAGAGACGGGTATCAGAGTGTAGCTCCACCTCTTAAGCCAAGTATGGTTTCACGGCGAGGAGGGAGCTACTAAACATCACGCCCCGTTTTAAGCACTTCTACACTGTGATAGGTATGAGGTTATAACAGATGATACTAGATAAATGGCAGCGCAATAAGTATGAGGTTGTGACAGTTTATAATAGCATCAATAAAAGTTCAATGGATCAATAGCAGTTCAATGGATCAATAGCAATTCAATGGATCATAGCAGTTCAATAGGTATGAGGTTGTGACAGCTGATATTAGCATCAATAGCAGTTCAATGAATCAATAGCAATTCAATGGGTCATAGCAATTCAATTAGGTATGAGGTTGTGACAGCAAGTTCAATGGATCTTTAGCAGTTCAATAGATCTGGCCGCAGCCTGTATACTTGCACTTTATGATGAGCCAGAGGTACTGTATGGGGGAGTCTTGCCTCCCCGTTGCACTCCGGTTGTTTCTGGGTCCTGGTATGGAGCAAGAGAGGCCTGTTTGGTCAGCGTCCTGCTTCCACAATAGTGGGACGCCGATCAGACAGTGGCCCGCGGCTTTATAGCGGCGGCCCTGCGTGAGAGGGCGGAGTCACGCGGCAC